TAAATATATATATATATATATATATAATTTACTGAAAACATTTGCACTCTGCCTTTCCACCATTTCCAGAAAGCAGTTTACAATCAAACTGGAAAAACAGGCAAAGAAAGAAAGAAAAACAAAGAAAGGAAACTGCAAGCAAGAACAGTCGCTGATCACAAATATCCCCAGTATAAGTGTCAAAGATCACCAAAGTCCTGAGTAAATTGAAAAGTTTTAAATGGGCACCTGAAGGTCAACAGTGAGAGTGCCAGATAGATACCTTGGACTAAAGCACTCCATACGGGGACCCTAAAGTGGCTTACATAATTCTCCTTTCCTCTAGTTTACCCTCACAACAACCCTCTGAGGTCACTTCAGCTGAGAGGGGGTGACTGGCCCAAGGTCACCCAGCAAGCTTCTGTGGTACAAGTGGGGATACGAACCTGGGTCTCCCATATCCTAGCCCAACTCGCTTAACCACTACACCACACTGGCTAAAATCACCTTGATCTTGGGAAGGCCTTAGCCTCTCTGCCCTGTTGTTGGCCATCCAGAGAAACCAGTTGGCCTCTGTGTGAGACAGGATGCTGGACTAGATGGACCACTGGTCAGATCCAGCAGGGCTCTTCTGATGTTCTTAGGAAGGCCTCAGCCTCTCTGCCCTGTTGTTGGCCCTACAGAGGAACTGGCTGGCCACTGTGTGAGACCGGATGCTAGACTAGATGGACCACTGGTCTGATCCGCAGGGCTCTTCTTCTTATTTATTTACTTATTGCATTTATATCCCGCATATCCTGTAAATGGACTCAGGGCGGGTTACAACATATACATAAATACAATAAAATTTTAAAACACATTATATGCATATAAAATCAATAATCTTAGCTTGCCGTAGGGAGAGTCTGGCCCATTGATGTAGGTAAGTATGGCCGGTTATCAGTGGGTGGGGGACAGCAAGCTCGGGAGGCCATGTGTGGACGCCCACTGCCTCAGCCAAAAGCCTGGCGGAAGAGCTCCGTCTTGCAGGCCCTGCGGAATTGAATGAGATCCTGCAGGGCTCTGATCTCAGTAGGGAGCATGCTCCACCAGGTGGGGGCCAGGGCAGAAAAAGCTCTGGCCCTGGTTGAGGCTAGGCGGATGTCCTTTGGGCCAGGGAATGCCAGGAGATGTTGACTCACAGAGCATAACGCTCTTCGTACATGGGAAGAGGCAGTCCCTTATGAAGGCCTCAGCCTCTATATCCTGTTGATATCTATTCAGAGGAACTGGTTGGCCACTGTGAGACAGGATACTGGACTAGATGAACCCTCACTGGTCTGATCCAGCAGGGCTCTTATGTTCTTATGAAGGCCTTGGCCTCTCTGCCCTGTTGCTGGCCGGCCAGAGGAACCAGTTGGCCTCTGTGTGAGACAGGATGCTGGACTAGATGGACCGCTGGTCTGATCCAGCAGGGCTCTTCTTATGTTCTCCTGAAGGCCTCAGCCTCTATGCCCTGTTGTTGGTCATCCAGAGGAACCAACTGGCCACTGTGTGAGACAGGACGCTGGACTAGATGTGGACTATTTGTCTGATCCAGCAGGGTTGAGTTATGTAAAGTGCCTGCATCCTTTATATAGATATTCTATTAAGGTTTTTTTTATCCTACCCCTCCTCCATAAACTAAGAGTGGCATAAGTTACCCTGTGAGGCATGCTGGGTTGAGAGATACGAATGCAAGGACAAGCAGCACCCTTCATGGCCAGGTAAAGAGTTAAACTGAGGTCTTCCCCAATCACTGGAAGGACCACAACCACCATACTGGCTCTCCTAGACTACTTAGAAGTCCGTTCGTTTGCAGACACTGGCTCTGTTCAGGCATAACGTGAAGCCATGGTTTTCTTTAATTATGGTTAGCCTATGAAAGAGGAGAGCGCAAAAGTGGGCTTGAAGCTCAACATCAAAAGAACTAAGATTATGGCATCCGGCCCCATCACTCCTTGGCAAATAGAAAGGGAAGTCGTGGAAGTAGTGACAGACTTCACGTTTCTGGGATCCCAGATCACCGCAGACTGTGACAGCAGCCATGAAATTAAAAGACGCCTGCTCCTTGGGAGGAAAGCGATGGCGAACCTAAACAGCATGATAAAAAGTAGAGACATCACCCTGCCAACAAAAGTCCGCATGGTCAAAGCAATGGTATTCCCAGTAGTCATGTATGGCTGCGAGAGTTGGACTATAAGGAAGGCCGAGCGCCGAAGAATAGATTCTTTTGAACTATGGTGCTGGAGAAGACTCTTGAGAGTCCCTTGGACTCCAAGAAGATCAAATCAGTCAATCCTAAAAGAAATCAACCCTGACTGTTCCCTGGAAGGCCAGATAATGAAACTGAAGCTCAAATACTTTGGCCACCAAATGAGAAGGGAGCACTCCCTGGAGAAGACCCTGATGCTGGGAAAGATTGAAGGTCAAAGAAGACGAGGACGGCAAAGGATGAGATGGTTAGACAGTGTCACAGATGCAACGAACATGAAATTGAGCCAACTTCAGAGGACGGCGGAAGACAGGAGGGCCTGGCGGGATCTGATCCATGGGGTCACGAAGAGTCGGACTCGACTGTACAACTGAACAACAACAAATGAAACTGGGATTCCACTCACAAACGACCATTTAAGCCCTGATCTGCCTCGACAAACGCTGTCGGGGATACGATCCCTATTTTCCCTGCCTCCTCCAGCCTGCATTGTGGGCAGAGCGGGTGCCAGGAAGCAAGCCAGGATGCCAGTGTTTGTACATCATGCAAAAACCTTTGTTAAAACTAATTGTTGTTAATAAACCAGCTGCAAGCTGTGGTTTTAGATCCCTGTTCGATGCACCCGAAATAACCACAGTTAATGGACTGTCCCACATTCCAGCAATCACGTTAACCATAGTTAGTTTAATTAAACTGCGGTTTCCCATGATGTACCAGTTAGACCTCTAAAACGGACACCTTCACGGAAGACCCATGTTTGAATACAAAGCGCTAAATGCACCAAAGAATTTTAAAAGGGGCCAGTTGGAGATCTTCACTGAGTCCCATTTCGTAACTTTCTTCTTCATTAAAGCCCTGAATTGTGCTGCATCCAAGCTGGGTATTGTAAAGTTGAGTTACTCTCGCTTTCCCTTACTGTTTTACACCATCCCAAATTATTAAAAAGGCACCTCTATGATTTATTTCAGTAAAGGGAAGCCCAGAAACATTATCCTGTTCAACTGGACGGGAGAGACAACAGCAGAGTTCCTTTTAAAGAGTTCCTTTTAAACTCAGTCGATATGCATAAGCCCCGGAGTCAGCAAGGGGTACAGAATCTTTAAGAGGTCATCCTCCCCACCCACCCCCGGTCAAGGTCACTGACACAGCTTGAACACGAAGCCTGAGCAAAGAAGTCTAAAACTACCGTGCTCAGCAAGTCGATATGCATAAGCCCCGGAGTCAGCAAGGGGTACGGAATCTTTAAGAGGTCTCCCCCCCCACCCCCGTGGTCAAGGTCACTGTCACAGCTTGAACACAAAGCCTGAGCAAAGAAGTCTAAAGCTACGTGCTCAGCAAGTTGAACACAAATAAGGTGAGTAAACAGCAAATAATGGGTTTGTCGTTGCTGAATTCTTCACATTTCATTCGGTTGTTACTGGAAAAAAAATTATTTATTGCATTCTTGAGCTACCCCATCACTTTAAGAGTGCTCCAGATGACTAGAAGCGTGGGTTCAAATCCTTCCTCGGTTGCAGAGCCTTGGGGGTCAGTCAATTATTTCAGCGGAAGCCTTAACTCCCAATAGCATAGCCAACCTCTAGGTAGTAGCCGGAGATCTCCTAGGATAACAGCTGATCACCTGGCAACAGCGATTAGTTCACCTGGAAAAAATAGCTGCTTTGGAAGGTGGACAGGATGACATTGTACCAGGGTTGCCGGCCTCCAGGTGGGGCCTGGAGATCTTCCGCTTTTACAACTGCTCTCCAGCTGACGGTGATCAGCTCCCCTGGAGAAAATGGCTGCTTTGAAGGATTGCACCATGCTGAGGCCCCTCACCAAACCCCGCCCTCTCCCTGATCCACCCCCCAAAGTCTCCAGGTATTTTCCAACCCAGACCTGGCAACTCTACATTATACCCTGCTGAAGTTCTCCCTTCCCCAAATCTGGTCCTCTCCCAAATCTCCAGGAATTTCCCAAGGTGGAGATGGCAAGCTAACTCCCGAGGGTGCTGGAAAGATGAGAGACAGAGAGGACCATTAGAAAAGAGCAAGAGTCCCAACAAAATCTGTGGCAGGGTAGGAGCTTTTCGTGAGTCACCGCTCAGTGCCAGGGCTATTTTTGGGCAGGAACGCACAGGAACGGAGTTCTGGCTGGCTCCCGAGTTGGCCACGCCCAGCAGGAACTCATTAGCATAATAGGCCACACCCAATGGCAGAAACTCATTAGGATTGGCTACATTAGGGGTGTGTGGCCTAACATGCAAAGGAGTTCCTGCTACAAAAAAAGCCTTGGGTTTTGACAACAAACAAGGTAAACAGAATAAGAAGCAAAAGGTGGGTGTGGCTGGATGACCACACTTCTGGTAACAAGGACTGTGTGGCCTAATATGCCAATGAGCTGTGCTATTAGGGGTGTGGCCTAATATGCAAATGGTTTTTTCTGTTGGGTGTGGCCTATTATGCTAATGAGTTCCTGCTGGGCTTTTTCTACAAAAAAAGCCCTGCCGCTCACTTCTTCAGACAGAGAGGACCGTGTATGACACAGGTTCA